GTTGTTTCTTTGAAACAGCAGGTTAAATATTGAATAATATTTTGCAGAAAAAATGATCATTATTTAAAATCTGTAACTTGACTTTTTTTCTAGTGAGGGTAGAGACTAGTCATTCAATTTTGTAAACACAAAGTAATTTTGTAATGAATATTATAACAACTTCCACAGGTCTATCCAAAGAATAAAATCCAATTGATCTTACCCATCTCCCCAGGCCAAAAAGTAATTGTGCATTGAGCCTTCTGTCTAAACATTTGAATGCTAACAAGATATTTAGCAGCACAGAGTCTAGATTTTGCTTATAATCAAGCTTCGGTCATCAGCATTATTTTTTTTATTTCTAATCGTTTTGTTTAAGAAAAGCCTTTAGTCTTGATTGTTGTGATCTTTAGTGAATACCAGTTTCAAAAACATTGAAACTGTACAAGACTTACATTTCATGCCACAATAACCATCTTTTAAACATTTTAACCAATAGAAAAGACCTTATTTGTATAATTAAACCTGAGGATGTTAATGTCACTATAAATAAAATCAGTTTTCCATTCTGCTTTCCACTAGAGTTATTTTTTAGCCTCCCTGCTTCCATTTAAAGCTTTTGTTCATCTGATAGAGTATTAATATACGTGAATGTATGTGTGTCACTCTTAGAGCATAAACCCACAGCTGTAATTATTTTGTGGGGAATATTCTCAAACAAAATATTTGATACTTAAAATAGCCAATTAACATAGTCATTAAGAATCTTATAACTTAAGTGCAAAGTACATCAAAACCAAAATTTTTAGGATTGAGTTCATGAAGAACAAATGGCTCTGCTGATAGAAACTTTGTTCGTAAGACATTTTCTGAAAGAAATAGAAATTAAATGACACTTAGTGATGCCATTTAACATGCCATTCCCCACATCAAACATACAGAGATATAGTTTCATCTTTATAGATAAGACTATTTGGTATCGTTTCTCTTATTTACTAGTTTACAGATCTAGTTTCTTTTCTTCTCATATTGAATTTGTTTTTGGTGGAATCATTTGTAAACATGTCTAGATATTTAAAATAATCCATTTAATTTTGTTTAAGAATGGAGAACATGAAATAATACATGATTCTGTAAGCAGGAATAATTTCATGATACATATATGTTATAAATTAAATTTGTCTCTGTATAGACGCATATATACATAAATTATTTTTATATAGTCTCTTCACAGAAAATGTACTGGCCCATCCTTGCATTGTTCTACGCCGCCAATGTCAGGTAAACATAATTTCTGTGACCTTCTGAAACAATAATCATAACCTCGATTTGAAGTGCAGAACTCCAATAAATGACATGAAACTGTGTAACCATTATTCCGTGTGAGATGTTCCAAAATCATTATTAGTTCTCAAACTTTTTGGTCTCAAAACCTCTTTAAAGTCTTACAAATTATTGAAGCTCCCAATCAACTTTGGTTTATGTGGGTCATATCTGTTGATATTTACCATATCAGAAATTAAAATTGGGAAAATTTTAATGTCTCTATGCAATTCATTAAAATAATAAACTCATTAGATATTAAGATGAATGACATTTTTATGAAAAATAACTATTTTACATTTTTGCAAATGTCTTTAATGTCTGGCATAAGAGACAACTTCTACAGTCAATCTGTTGCAAAATGTTGTTTTTGAAAGAAACAAGAAAGTCCAGCCTTGTATGCATAAATAGTTGAAAACAGGAGTGTTTTATGTCCTTTCCAGATTATTGTGAGCATTCTTTGAAATTACAGCAAAACTCACTAAGTGGTAGTTTTTTAAAGGTTATTTACAATGTGAAACCATATTAATGAACTTTTTATACTTTGTCCATTAATCTGTACTGCATCTTGAATGGGTATTTTACCCATGCATGATTCTGTATCATTATGCATGCTCATTTGAAAAATAATGATTCACTGAGTATAGATCTGCCAGATGTTAAGGAATTTGATTAGAAAATATCAAAAAATCATCTTCATTAAAAATACTACTGATCTCACTAAAAAGTCTTTAAGTATTGGAAGCTCTTGGTGGTGGATATAGATTTTCCAGAATTCTGATTTTTACTTGAAAATTCAAATTTATCATCGACAATAGTCATTTTTTAAAAAATCAACAAGCTCACTTTGTTCATTTTTAAGAACATGTCATTTCCAAGTATGAGTAGCTATAGTCTGTCAGTGAGTTTTTCAAGCAAAAATGATGTTCCATGAAAAAGTGGCTAAATCAGCTTGCAATTCTGTCATGTTTATACAAATGCTTTCTTCATGGCAGCTGTCTTACTCCCTTATGCAACACACAGGATATTAATTAGATGATGTGTAGTCAGAGGTCAAGGTTTCATAAAATTAACATTTTTTACTGCTTCATCAGGGGTATTCTTACATGAAGGTTGCTTTTTTTCCCTTCCTGTTATAAGGTGGAAAATACAATAATCACAAAAATATAGTTTTATGCCACTGCCTTGATTTGTGCTAAGGAGCTAGCAGTTTTATCCATCATAACTTTTGCACCATTAATGAAAGTGTCAACATAATGAAAAAGGCACATGATGCCTTAGTATAATTAAGAAAACAATTTTGAATTTGTTGATCTCTGGAAAGGGTAATGGGCCCCTCAGGGACCAGTGGACCACACTGTGGCAAACTCTGCTGTAACATAATTTATCTTCTTTGCAAAGTAATTTTTCCCATATTTGTTTGGTGTTAAGAGTTCAAAACAATATAAATCATTACAACTTACTTTGTTTATACTTAGCATCGAAAAATATGTACAGATAAACAACCATTTAAATAACATTGAGAGTGTACATGCCCTACAACAGTGTATTTCAGATATTTATTTTACATTGTAATAATATTACATTGTGATCCAGTGTATACATACATAAGTAACAAATGTATTATTTAGAAATGTTTTATGAAATAATACATTAGCATGTGTGTCCATTCTAATATTTTCTTTTTTATTATTTCACACAATAAATATTATTTTGATCCCCTTTAATTGATATCATCATTTACCAATTGATTGCACCCCATAGTTTGAAAATGCTTGGCTAAAATGAGCATGAGTTGGGAAATGTAATTCAGTTGTTTAAGGCAATACAAATATCAAACAACAAGATCCTCTTGACTATATAGTCTGTGTTACTGTATGTATTATGCATTGGTCTTCAGATTGTATTTCTATAACCGTATATACTGTACTTTTAATAGGTTACTTAAAGCACTTTCAAGTAATTTTGCTTACATATAATGTATATTGACTTTATAATTTTACTTTTGTCTATGCTACAATTCCACTGTATATCTTTCATGGCTTTGTTCTTTCTTGACAAAACAATCATGAAATACCTTTTTTATAGGTTAATTACCATGCTCGGCATTATCATCTCACTCCATTTACAGTCATCAATATCATGTACAGCTTCAACAAAACTCAGGTGAGAATTAGTCTATAGATTCTATTCAAGGTATATATAATATGTGTCATTGGGCTTAGTAATCATTAAAACAAGAATGGTTTTAATTTGTTTTTTAAAAATATCTTAATTGTTGTAGTAAAACTAATGTAACATAATGATATCTTTTTGATTCTTCCAAAATTTCATTAATTTAGCAAAACTACAAAGAGCTATGCTAAGCTCTAAGAACACAGCAGCAGGTATGAAGATGTCTCTGCTATCAAGGGGCTTATAATTTAGTCGGGAAGACAAAAACTTAAACAGAAGATTGTGGTACAGTAAGAAAAATACACTGTTACAAGTATAGAGTGCTATCGGAATACAGAAGATAGCAGAAGAGAGATGCCTTATCAAAATTGGGATAGGGCACAGGGTTATGGCTAGGAAAAACTTTGGGAAAAGGGACACCTGAGTTTTATACTTACTATCAAGAGTCTTACGTTTTCATTATGAGGGTAGAAAAAAGGTTTTTTAAGTAGATATGCAAGGACAGAGGAGAAAGAGGGATTGTATTGTTTGGGATTAGATTTAATGCAGTACAATTGGAGCTTGGAGCAGGGGTTGAAGAGTAAGAGAAAAATGAAAAGGTAGCTAGAGAGGTAAGCAAGATCTAGATCATAAAGTGCCTTCTAAAAACTGCACACCTGATCTTAAAAGCTATAAGAGTACCATTGAAGATGTTTTAGCAGTGACCAAAGTATTTTGAACAAACTTGGGTTGTTTGGCAAATATCCTTCAAAATTTAAGATTTACGTGTGCTCTGACTACTAATTTCACTTCTAGATTCTTATCCCACATAGATACGCACATATATATATGCAAAAATGTATATGCAAGGATGTCTTTTTGGCATTGTATATAATAATGAGATTGGAAACGATTAAATGTCCATCAAGAGGGTACCACTAAAATAATTTTGGTATATTTATATGGTAAAACAGCATATAGCCTTTAAAAATAAGATGTGTACTGTATGTACTGATATGGAATGATCTCTGGGATATTTTTTGTGGTTCAAGATAGTACCACCTGTTAAAAATGAACAAAACATTACTATAACTATACATACACACAGAGATATACTTGTATGTGCGTGCATAATGTTTGGAGGATAAATAAGAAACTGCTGCTAGGGGGCTGGGATGCAAAGGAGGCAAACTTTTCACCTGATACCCTATTGCTTCTTTTTAATTGTACCATGTCTATGTGTTATTTATTAATAACATAGATAAATAGGAATAGGAATATCACATGGTATCGTGGAAAGGGGCAAGACTAGAGACAGTGGAACTGTTATAGTCAAATTGATATAAAGTAATGATGTAAGGATGGAGAGAACGTGGATTTGTATGATACTAAGGGAGTAGAATTAATAGAACTTGATGACTAATAGGAAGAGTGAGAGAAAAGTGGTGTTCTCTGGATGTATGATTTGAATACTAGGACGATGAAGTTGCTATCTAGGAAGATAGGATATACAGCAGAGAAGGAAAGAATTGGTGTGGTTTGAGTGGATATCATTGGATTAAGTTATGGATATGTAAATTTGAAGATACCTATGTGTTGTCCAAAGGACAGTCCCAGTAGGGAGTTGAATATACAGATATTAGAGTTATTTAACAAATTAAATTAACTAATCATTAGGAGTATTTAATTCAATATCAAGTTTTATTAAGACCTTTTGTGTTTTATGTTTAGGTATTAATAGAAATAACACTAAATTTTATTCATTTTAGGGACCAAGAGCCCTATGGAAAGGAATGGGAAGTACATTTATTGTCCAGGGCGTCACACTTGGAGCAGAAGGCATAATTAGTGAATTCACACCTTTGCCAAGGTACCTTTTTGGCATTTCTTCAATTAGTTCATACAAAGTTTTAGTAAAATACAGTTTCTGAAATACTTTGAATCTGAAAACTTGCCTCAAGTAGCTAAAAGAAGAAGCAGTATAAAATTAATTAATCATATCTTACTGAATTAGTATGTGATAAAGAAAATTCTTCTTGGTCTAGTATCAAGATATCTTTCAGTTGCTGCTGCTATGTGCCAGCGACTACCAACTAAGGAGCAAATACCAGTATGTGGGCCATTCCTGTTCTTTAAGTATTCAGTTTGGTGAAGGAGACACATGTAAGCAAGTAATAGTACATGGGGTGATTTGTGCTATAATTAAACCCCTTTCAGAATTCAGGGGACACTTTGCTTGGAGTTATTGACAAAGATTTCAGAAAAATAACTGAAATCTCAGCTAGATCTTGAATTACGAATAAGAATTGACTTGGCAAAGAAGGTAACCGTTCCCGCGCAGGGGTGGGGAATCTGCCACCTTTGGGCCACGTGTCCTTCTGGATCCTTGAGTGCGGCCGTTTGACTGGATCCAAATTTTAGAAAACAAATCCTTTTATTAAAAGGGGTGCAGTAGAGAAAGATGAATCTTTTCTTGCTCCTTTGGTGCTTAAAAAAGAACAATCTTGAAATCAGAAGGCCGCAGGTTCCCCACCCCTGTGAGGCATTCCATTAAAGTGTGATTGTGCCTTTGTAAGATTTTATTCTACATGAGTTTGGGAGTCTAAGGTTTCTTTTTGGTTTCTTTCTTTAATATATAGGTGTTTTGATCAAGGATATACTCAAGTGGCAGTGTTAAAAAAAAATTGACTGCTATCGACAGACATGTGGAGAGTAATCTAGACCATACTGAGAAGGTTCTGAACTATGGAACAGAATAGAAAGGGATGAGCTGGATAGACATTCCTGAAGTATAGTTGATGAAGTTGATGTTAGCTTGAGGGGGTCTGAGAAAATGAGTTGTCAGTAGTAACTGAGATTTCTAGATTAAAAAACATTACCCAAAATGGAAAATTCATGAAAAAGTTGGAGTGAGGGAGAAGATAAGAAATTTAACTTTCAGTAAATGAAGTTTGAAGAGATTCTTGCAGAATGTCAAGGGGGACACATCTACTAGGTGGTTGAAACCATGGATGAGTGTCGTAGAGAAAATTTGAAGCAGAGGCATAGCTTTCAGTGTTGTGGCACAAAAGTAGCAGTTGAAGCATTAGAGTGGAAGAAATCATGTCAGGAGAAAGTGTAGATTAAATGACATAAAGTGAACCAAGAACAGAATCCTGGGCAACTAATGTGTGTATATATGTGTGCCGTGCACATGTGTGTGTGTGCTGAGAGAGGTCATAGAGGAAGGTAGTTAGAGATACCCTTAGAACAAATTGAACATAGCAGTAAGATAGGACAATAGTGTCTTGGAAGTCCAAGATGGATAGATTGGAATTGTAGATAAAACTGGGGGGAGAGGGTAGAGAAATTAGGGAAATTTACTTCTGGGTCTCTGTGAAACAGGGTGTGATGTTACTTGGTAGGATAAGCATGGAGTTGTAGTAGAAAAACATGAGAAAAATAATATACATTTGGGACAGACAATGATGGCTCGCAAGGAAATCTTATAAAGAATACATGAAAAGAATGCTAATAGATAATATTGGAAATCATACAATTTTTAGGTGCTATTTGGCATTACTCTGTGATTTTCTTTATTAGCACTATATTTTTCTCTATCAGCCCAGGGATAGTGTTAAAGGCTTTGAGTGGGAAGTTTTTTGATTGTTGAGAAAGTGAGGTAGTTGAAGGTATAGCCACTAGTGTATCACATTTGATCAATCTTGGAATTTAGTCTTTATAGGGAAGGAAATGAAGGCAAGAGAAACTTGTATCAAATTTTTTTCCAATGTGATTGCTTTCAATGGACATCATAGTCTTGAAGTTCCTTTATAACAACTTTGCTAAAAGGTTAGAAATGAAACAAAGATTAGAAAGGTTAGAAACATTTGGCCAACTAAAAGTTTCTCATTTCATTCTATAAAATGTGAATTTCTGTGTTTGTCCAATTTTATTCACCCTATTGCTTTTATATCACTGGATAAGATCAAAGATAACAACCAAATATTCTTGAAGTTCTCTAACAAATAAATTTTATAAAAATTTAACAAAATGCAGGAAATTCCATTTGGTAGAAAACCTCAGTACAGTTGTCCTTCTGTATCCATTGGTTCAAGGACCCCTCGTGGATACAGTCTATAGATACTCAAGTCCTTTATATAAAACAGTGTGGTATTTGCACATAACCTATGCATATCCTCCCTGTATACTTTAAATCATCTCTAGATTACTTATAATACCTAATACAATGTAAATGCTATGTAAATAGTTGTTATATTGTTTAGGGAATAATAAAAAAGTCCATACATGTTCAATACAGACACAGCCATGCTTGCATTTTTTTTTGTTGTTAATATTTTCAGTTCTCTATTGATTAAATATATGGATGCAGAACCTACAGATGTGGAAGACCAACGACTGTATTTGGAATCACAACACTATTGGTTCAGGTCCTGGCTATACCAGTTTTATTTCTGGGACCTTACTTGAGTCATGTTTCCTCATTAAAGTGGAGATGAAGGAGTAATAACTGCAGGTTAAAGGGAAGAAAAAAGAGAAATGGGAATGGGAAGGCATAGAATTTTATAAAATTCTATCGTGTACCTTTTTAATAAACATACAGCCCTGTCAATTAAGTAGGAGTGTATTTTCTCTTTGTCATTTTGAATCGTAGTAAAGAAGACACAAATGGTTGTCTTTCTGGTTCTACTTGTATAATTTTGGTGATAAATCCTACTCATTAATTCATTTATTTACTTAGCTAACATTTCCTGAGTACCTACTATGTGTCAGGTCTTGTGCTAGAAATCAGGTTTATAATAAGGAAAAGAAACAAAATGTACTGGTTACCATGAAGCTCAGAATCTAGTTTAAGGACATATATTAAGTAAAATAATCCCATTAATGAACAAATAATTATGAATTGAAATTTGTTTTCTGGAGAAAAAGAATATGGTTCTATGAAACTATTGAAGGGTTAGAACAATGTCCCTGGCGACAGGACACCTAAGCTAGATCTGAGTCATGAGTAGGAGGCACAGACCAGTTAGTGTAAAAATGCTGTGGCACTCAGGAGCATGGAAAATTCAAATAACCGAGAAGGCTCATGTGGCTGGAGGTCAGAGGGCAAGGTGGAGAGTGGCCATAGAATTTGGTGATGGATTAGCAATGTTAGATGAAAGAGATGGCAATATCAAGGATGATTTCTAGGATTCTGGCTTGTGTAACTAGATGTCAAATGAAACCATTTTCTGAAGTATAGTGTAAATATCTTTTTTTGTTTAACTTATTTGTTCTTCTTTGGGTAGGGTTGACCTTTCTTGGGAGAAAACAGAATCATGGCAAACAAGCTAACAAAGCATTAACTCAAAGCAGTTCACAGAAGCTATCACATAAGGAGGATGAGTTTGAGGTCTCCTAGACTGAGGTTTCTTAATTGCATAAAGATTGCAAGGTAAAAGAGGTCCAGCAGTATGGATTCACCAATATTTAGTTTTTTTAAATACTGATTATGATCAAATCAGAGAGAAAAACAGCAGATATCTAGTGCCCATTCATTAAGTCACCAAACTTACAGTTTCTCAGTAGTAGTACTTTTTAAGAAAAATGTATATAACCCAGGTTCATCATCTATCTTTATTTACCACCAAACCCTCCCAATCCGCCCTCTAACCTTCCCCCAGGTGGTAACAAGGTAGACCATGTGTCATTCTACCCCGAAGTACTCTTTATTTATGTGTGGCTTTTCTCATCTCATTTATATGAGGTAGGAGCACCTGTGACCAAAGCTACCTGTGTAGTTCAATCTCTCACAAAACCCATTCGGTTGAACTCTAACTTAGTTTTGACTCATAGCATGTTTGTGGTTGTACTAATATAAATATCTTGTGGTTATCTCCCAGTGGTTTCTCTGAATTCACTTACTTTAAACACATGTTATTTTAAACACAATGAAATCTCTCTTAAATTCAGTAGATTTCCTTTCTGTGTAACAGTTCCTGAGTATGGAACATTAAAAGAGTTTAACTAGGAAAGAAAGATTTTAAGTTTCATTTTTGGACCAGTTCATTTTCAGATCCTTTATCATATCCAAATCGAGTTGTCTGTAGGTAAATGATATGAAGCTGTCAGATAGGGAAGTCTTAACTGAAGGTAAATTAATTTGGGAGATTTTGAAACCATAATCTTGGATGAGAGAGCCTAGGGAAGGAGTATACCATATGGAGTAAGAAAAGAAGAGAGCCTGAAGCCTGAGCCTTTAGGAACTCCAACAAGAGTTGGCTGGGTTAAGAAAGATGATCCTGCAAAGGAGTCAGAAGGAAAGACCAGAAAGCAGGATAAAAACCGAAAGAGTATGGGCTATTGGAGTACAGAGGCGAGTGCTTCAAGGAGGGAGGAACACAAGTGCCTAATGGCTTTGGAAATATCAAATAAGGTATAGCCTTAAAAATGTCCATGGGGTTTAGTGACATGGAGGATATTGGGAACCTTGGCAAGAGCTGTTTTCATAGGATAACAGGATAGAAGCCAATCTGGAGTGGGTTCAGAGGTGAATGGGGAGTAAGAACTTGGAAATAGCAAGTTTAGAAAATTGGCTCTGAAGAGGAGAGATGAAGAGAGGTAGAGAGGTAATTGGAAGATGAGGGGTTTGGGTTAGACTGAGGGAAGATTTTATTGTTTAAGAAGACAGCTATTTGTGTGAAAATTAAACACTGCTGAGATATAGTTATTTTAGAATTTTATTGCTTCTATATATTGATTATGCATAGGAGTATGTATTTTAATCTGTTAAATGGAAAACTAGACTGTTGAGAAAAGCAAGATATTCTAAAGTTTTAATTTTGCTCATTTTCAAGGGCAATTTTTGATTGAAAATAATTTAAATATATACATTTGGTATTTGATAATGAGATATAAAAAGGTTTAATCACAAGTTTTTATATTTACCTCTTTCTGAAGCATTTAAGTGTGTTAGGTGAAATTTCTAGAGCAGTGGAAATAAGTTTTAGTCATTTTTTAAAGTAGTAGAGAACAGATATAAGGAAGAGTCTCAGAAAAATTTTTTTAATACTTGGTTCTAAATCTCCCTTTCTCTTCTTTTATCTTAATGATCTTTAAGAATTGGCAGTAGTAATTAGAATTGTATTTAAAGAGGAGGTAGCCCAATCTTTACAGAAATACAGGTCACAGACTCATCTGTTCATAGCATTTATGACAGTTTTATGCTTAAAATACATGTCATAATAACCTGTGGTAATACTTTCTAAGGCCATGAGTAATAGCAGCACCAAGATGATTTACAAAGCATATAGCATATTTTGTTTTATAATCATAAGTAACTGTAAGATGGGAGGCCTAATTGGTTTTTTACATTTTCAACTTAATTCTTGAATATCAGTTCAGCTACATTTTCTGTGTTGTTCAGGTCAAATAAGTATCATAGTAATAATTTAATCAGAATTTGGCTCAGAAGGCTCCCTAAGGTCTTAGAAATTAGGGGTAATCATTCTGTTGTCTAAAAAGTCTCTGCGTACGTTTCATTCTCTTAGAAAAGTAGGAAGTTTACATACTACCCATGCTATAATTGTACTGAGTTTGTTTTTAGGGCACTTACCTTATTAGTGACTTTATTTTAACTTTCTTCACCTTTTTAAGACAAAATATATTTATTCCTTTGTATCCTTTTGTTTTTCATATTCACTCATTTCAAATAGAAAACATTTTTCAGGGTTCCTGCTGGAGCCGTGATGGAAGGAGTACCAGTTCCCTCCGGGGAGCTGGTGGCAGCAAGTGTCATCTTTGTTTTGCACTTCCCTTTCTGTTTTG